CTTTTACGTACACATGTATTTAATTATTGTTGTCTCATCCCTGTATTGTCGATTCCTTACGTCGGTTAAATCCCTCGATTTTTTTTTTTTTTATTTCCTCGTTGCATGAAGGCGATGTCGGTAAGTGATAGAGAAATAAAGATTGGGCTTATACAATATACAATATATATATCGTATGTATATATATATAATATATATCGTAATTACATTATACGCTTAAAATCCGCCGTCGTATGATAATTACGCGTTACCTTTTTGTCGTATTTCTTCTTTTTTTTCCTTCTTCTTCGCTTCATTTATATATCTATTTTATTTTATATATGTATATAACCTTTTCTCTCTTCGTTCCTTTTTGTTGTCTCCCCCCACCCGTCGGCGGCATACATATCGCGTACATATACACGCGTCGTGTCAGTGTGTGTATAATTACGTATATAAATTAAAGATTCGTTTACGGGGCGCTTATATGCCGCGATAATAAATAATACGACCGTGTGTACGTGCGCACGTGCGAAACGCGTGTTTCCTGCATACGTACCCGCGTACCTACAGCACAGTCGAGATACTCAATTATTTATTTGACGTCAGTCTTGTGTGTTGTGTGAGGCGGGATCGAAGCTCGCTAACGTTCTCATTTTCCCACAAATCCACTGTCCCCATAGGCTGTAACCTTTTCTTTTCTCTCCCCTTCTACTCTGTCTACCCACTATTACACCACTATTACCGACGCTTTCCGCGTTCGATAGCATCACACGCGTCGATCTTCCGCCGCGCGGCTCGCGCCTCCTCTCCTTCCTTTTTTCCTCCCAGTTTCGAGTCGTTCGAACGGATAACTAACGCTCGTTTAATCACGCGATCGACAACGCGGGAATCACGTCTCCGGACCTCGCACGAAACCGGCAATTAACGGCAATTAATTATCGGCCGCGGGCAGAAATCGCGCCACCGGATAAACATCTAATTGAAGGGAGAGAAAAAAAGATAGAGAACGATCCTGCACAATTTTTTTTTTCTTCGTCTTTCTTTCTTCTCCCTCTACCTCTTTCACCTCTTATTACCGCTCCCGATATCCGCGTGTATATATATATATTTTTTTTCCCCTCTGGTTTTATCGTTTACCCAGCCACGGATCGATAGCGAGCTCGATCCGGTTGCACATGCGCGTCGAACAGACGAAAACCATTAAACACGCGACTCCTTCTGGAAATCCGTTTCGGCCGCGTTCGCCGCCGTCGCCGTCGCGAACCACGTCTCGTTCTCCTCCTTATCGCGGCCGCCGTCCCGCTGTTTTTTCCGCGCGGAAACTCGCCCGTGTGCATACGAATTAGAATTCCTTCGCGGAACCCCTTGCTCTCCTAACGAAGAGCTGCTAACGTTCGCTCTTTTTGCTGGCGCGGTTACGCGGCGCGGAAGAAATGTGGCGGCGAGCGGAAAAACGTTCGGAACACGCGAGCTGTACGAGTTATACGGTATCAACGAAAAATATGACTCTTTTTACCGTTTACTCTTTTCCCCCATTCTTCTTCTTCTTCTTCTTCTTCGTCTACTTCTTCCTTCTTATTTTTTTCGTGCTTTCTCTACCTCCTTCTAGCCAGAACTTCTGAACCTTGTAACTCACTCGGAGCTCGGAATTTAAAGGGGCGATAGGGAGAGGGGTAGCTTGCGGAATAACTTTGTCGCGCGTTCCGCCGCGCCGACCAAGCTCCGGGAGGAGAAGTTTGCTTTGAAAAACTCTCTTTAACGTTCGCTCGAAGAAAGTTCCGACGGGGAACGACGGCCGTGCAAAACGCGTTCTCGACCGGTAGATCCTGTGAAATCGACGCTTCGCCTCCGTCTTCGTCGTTGTTCGACTAATAATGTATAAAAATCCTGGGGGATAGATCGTGATTACGTGATCATCGACGTATCACGCGTCGTTCGTGCGCAACACGCACACACCCTGTTGCTCGGTACAAACTGGGCAGAAAATAGAAAACACGTTCGACGCGTCGATTTCAAGGATCTCGCGAAGCCCTAGCCGACTTCTCTCCGCTGTCGCGGGAGAGAGCGAATTTCCAGAGGAAGAGTGTTGGCAGTGCGCTGCCGTTAAACTGATATGCCAATTGTGTAGCTACAACTCCGGTTACGCGTTTCACCTACCCACCTTCGCAAGTAGGTTAAGTCTCCTCTTAAGCGCGACACTCGAGGTATAGCGTCTACTCTACACGGTACGCTCGGAAAGTGCGCGAATGACAGTGCTCGTTGAGAAAGATTGTTCGATGAGATCGAGACCGCGTCGAGAAGCTGCGTCGAGTGTAACTGGTTCCTTGTAATTGGAGATACTTCGCGGGAACGAGTGTTCTTCATAAAAAAAAAAAAAAAGAAAAGCAAAAGAAAGAACGATACGAATTTTTCTCGTTGCAGTCCTGTCGATCTCCTCCTCTTCGTCGTCTTCTTCTTCTTCTTCTTCGTTTCGACGCTAGTAACGCTCGAGCTCTTTCGCTACGACTTCAGCATCCATTTGACGACGCGACGAGATTGATTTTTTCAGAATCAAAATTCAACTTGGTAAAGGTGGTACCGTTTAAAAAACTATTTAATATTGTAAAGTAGCGGTGTTCGATAGAGTAAAATAGAGGATGAATTACGAAGTTCTGATGGATGCCGAAGATCTCAACGAATCGCTCGATCGTTCTACGTGAAGTACGAAATTCTGTCGTACCTTCGATCCAGCGGCTTGCCGCGTGCATTCCGCAGGATGCAGCCTTCCTTACGCGTATCTGTGCAAGGAGTGTTCGCGGCGCTTGCTTCCTCTGCGCTCGCGCTCACAAACTGGTTCCGGGCTCGGCGGATTCGAGTACGAGCTCTGCAAGCACGCCTAATGTAACAACAGAAATGGAGGAAAATTAAATGTGCCGGTTGCTTCGGCGAATACGCTGCATTTTATCCACCGTACTCGTTGAATATCGCGGAAAATCTTTGTTTCCACGGAATTTACCAGTTTTCGCGTTTGATATGTAAACTGGGAAAAATATCCGTGGATTTTGTGTATTTTCGATTGAAGAAAAATATTTCGTTTAACTGTGCCGCGGATTTTAAATATTCACGATTGCAGAGATTAATATTGCGTTTTATAAGAGTAATAATTAGTTGTGAAGTTGAATAAAATTGTTTATAATTAGCAAGTTTTCATTCAACGAGTACGAATGTAAGGTTTACTTTAGATGTAAAATGTAAATTAAAAGACTGCAAAAGTGTCAAAGTTTGTACGCCGATAATACGGAGAAAAGCGTAAGCTTTAAAACGCACTTTGTTTGAAGTCGATAGCTCTATTGGTTCCCGAGATATAACACTTTAAAGTTTGGTTCGTAAGATACAGTGGATTATGAATGACAACTGAAATTCTTGGAATTAGCGTGACCCACTTTTTTTTCTTGGAAATGTGTACGCCGTGAGTACTACTAGAAAAAAAAGTGCTGAGCGCGCGAGTGTGGGACTGACCAGCGTGCAGGTGTTGCGCTTGGGATAGGTCAGTGAGGAAGACGTGCGAGTGAGACAGAGATAGTAAAGTATTGAAAATTACGGTTCTCTTTAAACGACGATATCTCGAGAACGGGACGTCGTATCGAGATGAAACAAAGTGCGTTGTAAAGCTCACGATTCCCCGCTTCTGATAAGGTGGACTAGAATATTCCGTTTATGGTATATAATAGTCTATTATTCGAAAAAGGAAACGGTGTATTTAATGACACTGTGCTACTTTAAATTATTACTGGTATTGATATTGATCGGTGTTATTGACAATAAACGAATGGTAGAGAGTTTTAACGAAGATTTCAGAGGTGAAGATTTAATTAGTTCGCTACGGTCATGATTAAATTAGTTAACAGAGGTTTTGCTTCAGTTTTGGTTAAGGTAGAGAGTTATTAATTGAAGAATCTTCAAGTACTTTAGTTAAATATTGGAGTAGCGCAAGATTTAAGTATCTTACCTTCGCACTGCCCCTTGATGAAGACTTGGAGAAAACGCTGTCCTGATCGCTGCTTACACTAGGCACCGGCATTGGTACTGCGTAATCGTAGGTGGCATCTGTAATCAGATTTGTCGAATTTTTAATGTTAGTTTAAAGGAATTTTAGACTTGGAAAATTTGAAACTTTGACAGTTCAATTATTCGCAAATTTGAAAGCTTGAAAGTTCGATTATTCGCGCATTTGAAAGGTTGAAAATGAAAAAATTCGAAAATCTGAAAAATTAAATATTTGAAACTTTGAAAGTTTGATCAAAATTCGAAAATTCAGAACTAAAACTTTACTACCAATTTCAATTCACCCACAAAATTAAGAGACCCCGCTAAATCAAACTGCCGGTGGAGCCAAACGTTCATTAAGCCCACCCGGAATACATATATACGATTCACAAGACCGAGAAGCGTCCCAACAAGTGTCAAGGCGTAACCGGACATCGATCGTACTCACCAGACTGTTCAACGTTGTCGTGAAGGTCCTTGTTGTCTATAACAACGGTGCTATATCCGTAATAAGCGGCGTGAGGCGGATCTCGGTACTTGTTCTCGTGGAAGGGCTCCTGGTACTCGTCCAGCCTGACGTCACCCAACAGACGATCGTTCAGATCGCGAGGCAACGTCGTCAGCTTAGTTCCGGCGTACCGATCGTCGAGTTCCTCGACTCGGTACGTCATTAACGAAGGATCCTTCTCCGTGGTACCGTACGCAGATTCCGGCGACAGGTGTTGATGATTGCCAGACGGAATCGCGCTTTTAGTTCCGAGAGGACTGGCGAAGTTCTTCCGTTGTCTGTGCCGCGTGACGATCAAGAAGATCGCGACGGCCAAGAGGAGGATCACAGCGGTTAAAACACCGATGATCACGGCCATGTAAGTAGGGTCATCTTGCTTCACTACCGGCACTTCAGCTTGAAGAGGATTGTCGCGCGCTGAAATTCGGTCCCTTACCCTTGGGGCTTCTGTCGTAGGCGGTGATTCGGGTGTAAAATTCCCGTGAGCGATATCTGTAACAAAAAGAAACAACATTTCCTTCGTGAATTTCTAGTCTGTTAATTCGAATATTTTTCGAGCGTTGAAATTAGGATTAAATTGGTGGATAAGGGATTGGAGTATTAGTACGGCAATTACCTGAATCGAACGTGATCTCACTGATCATGATCCACTTCGAGTAGAAGCTGAACTTGAGCTTGACGAATTTGCCTATTCGATGATGCAGCTTGATGGAGATGTTCCTCGAGTGCTCGAAGATCCTGTCCTCTATGTACGAGTACACGATCGGGTCGCCTGTATAATATCGACCACCAACGCTGAACATTATACTGACCTCGGAGAACACCTGTCACGAGAGAAAAACACCGTTTCTTTCCACAATAAAAACGAAGAAATGTAATCAAATTTATCCCTCGACGTTCTACCAATGTATTCATTTTAATAATCCTAGATATATCTCTTATCGTGGAAATATATAAAAGGAGCCGCGGCAAAGGTTACCGCAGCCAGTAAAATTAAGCGGCGCATTGTGTACACTAAACATGATGTAGCGGCTAATATTCAACATTAATTATATGCATAAATCAGCATCTTAAGACGAGCGAGGCTCTCGAGAAGAGAGCACAGACAGCAGAGAGGCTGGATATTAATATATCCCGCAATTCCTCTTCCACAAATACACACCGGGCTATTTATTACGGATATAACGGGCAACTTTATAGAGGAGCAACACACGGTTGACATCGACGACTTCGATAATTGCGAAGCAGCCCCGGCTGTGTTCTCCAGCAAGCGGAGGCGCGTGGAATGCTAATTCCACGCCGGGAAAGCGTAAGATAGTTGCGCGAGTAGAATGCCAGCCGGAAACTAAGAGTGGGAAAGCCGGTGTGTGTGGCAGCGAGGTGAAGTTCGCGTCGGTGAACGAAGAAAGAGGAGCGATCTATAGGAGCGAAAGAGCAAGGTGGATCTATAGAAAGGAGGAAGAGAGAAAGGACTAGTGGAATATAGCAGAGAAGAACGCGAGGGACTTGGAAACGGAGATTACAAAGCTGAGATTATCTAACTCTCTTAGCCCTGAAGACGAACGCAACGACGATGCGTATGGATTTTCAAGGCGAGAGCACCGCCGAAGCTTGCTATACTACCAGTAGCTCGTCGTCGTCGACGGTCTTGCGGGAGTGTGAGGAAGCCGAAGAAGGCGAATGTGGCGGCCACGAAACCGTGCACAACCACCACGGATGCAGCAGAGTGTATATAGCAACGGAGGAACATAAGAGAGAGCGAGGAGGAGCGCGAAACTGGCGATGCTTTGAAGTGCTGTCTTTCAGAAGACGTGTCCTATCCGCGCGAGCGGGCGCTTGTTAATAGAAGGGGACGTTTAGGGGCGGTTGCTACCATCTCTCACCCCTTGCTCGCCCTCATACCTCCAGCCATAGACTGCCGACTTGCCAGACTGTCGGTATTGTATTTGAATACGTGGCGTATCTGCTCTCCGGCTCGTTGCTCGCTAGCATTGTGCGTACGAGAGAGAAAGAACAGCAACCCTCCTTCACCACCTCAATCTACTCCCTTCGTCCCTCTAGTTGCCAGAGAAGACCGTTTCTCTTGCTTCTCGACGTTCCCTTCCTGTCTTCCACGAAGCATCCTTCTTCTTCTTCTTCTTCTTCCTTCTCCTACAAGAACGTTTCTCTCCCCACGTTCCGCATCCGATGCAGCGGCGTTTCTGCTGCCCTTGCCTTCGCCACCTCTCCAGCAGCTGGAGCCCTCGTTCGTCTTGCCCGTTCGCGGGCACACAATCGAGCCTCGAGCCGGGTAATGAGGCGCTCCATTCAAATAAATCTTGATACCGGTAAGGAGAGTGTTTCGAGGCTCGTCCTATTGAGGCTCGCGCATCGACCAACGTCGCCCCGGAAAACTTCCATTTTCTGTCGTCCGCCACTCCGGTCTTCAAGATCCTACGCTATCGCGTGCTAGCCATTGTGACGTCACCAGCTGAGAAAAGAGCACAGAGACCGGATTCTTCTGCTATCTTTATCCTCCATCCTTATCTTAAGCTGTCTTCCTTTTCCCTATTCCCATTTCGACAGATACCTGGCTTAGATTAACTCGACGTAACGATATAAAAGTGAAAGAATATTTTAATAGAATTTCTCATAGGGATAGTAAATTTTTTCAAAGGTTTCCCCAACACGTTCACCAAAAAGCTTCCATCCCTCCGTTGGAAAGTTGTTTGTTGTTCCGAGGCCCCTCTCCGTTGCTCGATTATGGAGCAGGGGTCTAGCCAGGGTAATGAGGGGCTCGACTGAAATAAATCTGGATACCGGGACGAGGCTATTATATAGAAATTCGTGGCCGGAAGCACGCCGGGCCGGAAAATTTTCCCAGAAACGGCCAACGCAGCCGGCGTTGAAGCGCCACCACCACCATTACCGTCAAGTTAGTAGTAGCCAACGTCGTTGTTACCACCCTGTGTAAAATCTCCTCTCTCTATCTCTCGTTTTATCCGCTTGAGCCGAAGTCAGGGGCCAACCGTTGTTGCGCCTCGTTACCCAACCTACACGTCCGACCTTGACTTCAACGTGAAAACTGAATTTCACGGTGTACGCCATAGTTCTGCCCCTCCGTTCTTTTTACCTTTCGTTCTTTTCTCGGATTAAAAGCAGACGCGAGATCTTCGCGCATATTTCGCCGCGATTGTCTGCCTCGCGTTTTTCTCTCCCTCCTCCTCCCCCTTTCCCTTATCTGCACTGTCTAGATCGTTCTTTTTCACCATTCTCGACGTCTAGTTTCCATCTCTCTTCCCTCCTTTTTTTTCCACTCACTCCTCTGTATCGTAGTTCTGCTCGTGTTGGCGAGTCACCGCCGCGGGCCCTTCCAATTTCCTCCCTGTCGTGCTCTCGTCTATCCACCCTCCCTTTTTTCCGTCTCTCTCTCTCTCGTCCTACCCTTTTTTTCACGCGTTTTCGCGGATATTCGGTGAACGATCATAGAGGAAATTTGAAAATAACGTGGCCAGGCTTGCGTTCAAAGAGATCGCCGATAAGGGGATTACGGTGGAAATTCCATCGTCGGATGGTAGTGTCGATAACGGGAACGAATCAAAATATTAAAATTTGAAGTGGACGGATCGAAGAGCAGGTTTTTCTTCTTCCTTTTTTTTTTTTTTGGCGAGGGGAGAAATCGCGGATGAATTTATCGTACGCGTTGTCCGACGTAGTAACGAGACGAGGAGAACGTTATGGAAGAGCTACCGGTTGCAAGAAACGACGAGGAGCGTGACTTTCGGTCTGCATGTTGTAGAACGTAAGTACGTGACTGTTCTCCGGGCCAAAAATCTGCCCGAGGGTTCTCGTTCGTGGGGATACGGAGATCACGACCCGCAAACGTTGGGGAAGGCTCTGGTTTCTCGTACCGCGTTTTCCTTTCCTGTCTCTCTTCCTTTTGCTCTACCTTCAAAATCACGACGCCGGATCAGCCACGGCTGCACCAGTTACCCACCCAACTTTCTAAGTAACTTGCCCGATAATCGTTGAATTAAAGCTAGACCCTATCTTATTGCACTCGTGGAAGAGGATACACTTTGATATTCCGTTATTTATAACACATATCCCTGGGTAAATTTATGCTTTCGACGCAGCTCACGTTTGAATTAACACATCCTACACTACGAGAAGTTTAGTTGCTTTTTAATTAGTTAACTAAGTTCATTTTTCAGCCTCAAAATACAATCTTTTCTGAGTGTAATTCAAAATCAGTCGAAGTTTTAATTAGTTCCTTTGTTCGTTATAAGTGACTTTCATGAAAAAGTGGTGACTCACATAGAATAGAAAGTTTGAGGAAATAAAATTTAATTTTCATGGCTATTAAAACGAATTTCTACTTCCCAATTTTGACATTTTACTAATTTCGTAGGACTCACCTGAACATCCTTGGTGAACTGATTGTTGCAGTAAATGTGCACAGCGGAGAACTCCCTCACGTGGTCGAACTCGAACTTGATCTCAAGCGGATGACCGGACCTGGTGTCGTTTCTCCAGCCGACCCATCCCTGACCCCTCTCGTAATCGTAATAGCCCATCTTGAAGTTATCCGGCCCGACCTTGCCGTCCGTCAACTGTCCCAGGCCACGTAGTAGCTGACCGTCCCAGTAGCCGTCGTAAGTCGCGTCGAAGAACTCCCAGTTGCCACGTTTGTCGCCCTGTGGCATCGAGTATGACACGATACCGTCGTTCCACGGACAACCGTACAGTTCTACCCGCATGCAAACGGTACGGCGATGATAGCTGTACGGCCAGAAACGGACTTTACTCGCGAACATCGGTGGCTCTAGTTCGTGCTGCGACTCAAGGTAGGTGTTCGTGTTTCCCTTGATTACCTGCAACAAACAATTCATCGATAGGGTTATCAACATGCTTCGTTTCGAATTATTCAAGCGAGAGTGTTTTTTTTTTTTAGATAAATTTGAAGTTTTTGACCCTTTTGGTACGGTAGGAGTTTAGCTTGCTAGAGGTATCTGAGTGTTTAGTGGTACTGAAAGGGGATATATGATTTTTCGATTTTTGAGAATTTGAGAATTTGAGGGTTTGAGAGTTTGAGAATTTAAGAGTTTAAGAATTTGAAAATTTGAGAATTTGTGAATTTAAGAGTTTGAGAATTTGAGGGTTTGAGACTTTGAGAACTTGAGAGTTTAAGAATTTGAGAGTTTGAGAATTTGGGAATTTGGGCATCTGAGAACTTGAGAACTTGATAATTTGAGAATTTGAAAATTTGAGAATTTGAGAGTTTAAGAATTTGAGAATTTGAGAGTTTGAGAGTTTGAGAATTTAAGAGTTTAAGAATTTGAAAATTTGAGAATTTGTGAATTTAAGAGTTTGAGAATTTGAGGGTTTGAGAGTTTGAGAATTTAAGAGTTTAAGAATTTGAAAATTTGAGGGTTTGAGACTTTGAGAATTTGAGAGTTTGAGACTTTGAGAATTTGAGAGTTTGAGAATTTGGGCATCTGAGAACTTGATAATTTGAGAATTTGAAAATTTGAGAATTTGAGAGTTTGAGGGTTTGAGAATTTGAGGGTTTGAGAGTTTGAGAATTTAAGAGTTTAAGAATTTGAAAATTTGAGAATTTGAGGGTTTGAGACTTTGAGAATTTGAGAGTTTTAGAATTTGGGAATTTGGGCATCTGAGAACTTGATAATTTGAGAATTTGATAATTTAAGAATTTGAAAATTTGTGAATTTTCTTTGAAGATTAGTCGCGAAATTAAGTTTCTCTACTACCCTGAAATTCGAAAACTG